TATTAGCTGGAAGTCCAAGAAACAAGAAACAATTTCACTCTCTTCAGCTGAAGCAGAGTACAGATCATTGAGAAAAGTAGTAGGTGAATTAACCTGGTTGCAAAGGTTGTTTGAAGAGCTGAATATATATCAGACTGCACCATTTCCTGTGTTTTGTGATAGCCAAGCAGCCATACATATTGCTAAAAATCCTGTTTTTCATGAACGTACGAAACATATAGAAGTGGATTGTCATTTTGTGAGATCAAAACTCCAAGAAGGGCTCATTTCATTACATCATGTTGATACTACTAATCAGTTGGCAGATGTTCTTACAAAAGCACTTACTGGGATTAAGCATTCTACAATTCTAGACAAATTGGTTTCGATCACCTCTGCTCCAATTTGAGGGGGGGTATTGAGGTTAAATTAGTCATTACACATAGCTGTTAATGTAATTAATTAGTTGTTAATTCAATTAGTTAGTTTAGCTTTTCAGGAAGTTAGTTATAGTTTTCTGTTTTGGTTAGCTTCTGTTTTTGGTGGTTATATAACCACAGCCTGCTCACATTTTCTGTTACACAACTGAATGAAAATTGTTCACACATTTTCAATGCCTCTTCTTCTTCCTCTTTAATCAAGCTTTCATCCATGGAGGTTTTGCAGCTCTCTTCAATTTGACAATTTCAATGCCGTTCTTCATAAAAAAAAAAGAATTATTTCAATTGCCGAATGTGTTGAATGTGAATCACTTTCTGGTTATTTGAATTCTTCTTGTAAACGGTGCATTTTATCTCTTGCAATACACTCATTGTGGGACAAGGTAGGCATTTTGCAGTCGTGGAGATGGTTGCAAGTACAATGAATCTATGAGCTGAAGTAATGCTTTTAGCTCAAGATACAGTTTTCCAAGGTTAAGATAGTGACCCTATAGATCAATCCCTTTCTAGAAAAGCCAATGTAGCTTTGTGTTCAAATGCGTCCATACAGCTGATGCTTGATTGGTTGAATATGATCAATTGATGTCTGCTTCCTTCTGCCATTCTTGTCATAATAATTTAACTGTGCCGATCGAGCAATGCATTTGAGAGTGATGATTTTGTTGAAAAACATTTAATGGTCCATTGGGATAGAATGCAAATGTTGATCTTAAGTTCGAATTAAATGTCTGTTATTGCATTCAAGGGACAGCTTGCTATTTTTCTCTTAAAATCCTAGTGCCAAATGACATATTGAATAATTGTTTATGAGCTATAGCTGGTGAACATGTTGAAACAATTCTCATGGAGATAATCCCATGCCTAGAGAAGAAATAGGACAGTAAATTCTGTAACTGTAGTATATAATCTGGCCATTTCTACACAAAAGAAACCACCATCTAGTTGGAACTTGACTTTGGAAATGGCTTTTTTCACATGAACAATGAGGGAATTTTTACTTGATTTCTTCTGTTCTTGCAATTAACTGTTCTTTCATACTTTTCTGTGCATAGGTTGGACCAGAATATGCAAGGTATTGTGGAATTGAGGCTTTGGAACCGTTAGGAATTTACTTGCCTGGTGACATCAACTATCCTGGAGGTGTTCTTTTTGATCCATTGAATCTCTCTAAAGATCCGATGGCTTTTGAAGAGCTAAAGGTTAAAGAAATAAAAAATGGGCGCCTTGCTATGGTTGCCTGGTTAGGCTTTTATGTCCAAGCCGCTCTTACGGGTAAAGGCCCTGTGCAAAACCTTCTGGAGCATATCTCAGATCCATTCCACAATAACTTGCTCTCCATTCTAAAGTCTCTGTAAGAGAATTCACTTATCCAAAGTTGACAATGGGGTTTAAGCCTCCCAGGTATAATTGTTCTGTCTTCTTTATATTTAAGGCTGTAATATGTGAACTCATAATTCATCTGAAAATAGTGTCATACCTAGAAAAGGTGAAGACATGTTGTGCCCAGAAGAGTATTTGAGGTTGTCCATACCAATGAACCTTATATGGTCTTGTTTATAATGGGATGTTAAATGACTATTGTTATTGTTTAAACTTCTGTTTATGATGGGATGTAAATAATAAGGAAGCAAGTATGTTGCTTGTTATTTCTTATGTGACACGCTTCCTTTTTGTTATATCTAGAAATTTATTCATTCTGCATTATAAAAGCTTCAGGAAGTTATCATATTAAACAATTTAACAAAGAAATTCTCATGTCTTTTAAGAATAATAATAAGGAATATTTAATTTGCATTTTGTTTCACTTTCTTTAGTGTGAAAAAAAAATGGAGCGGAAGGGGTTTGGAAATATTGATTGGGATGGAATGGTGCTTCCTGTGCGTTGAGGTATACTTCATGCAATTCTTCTTCTGTTAGTGCTTCTTCTTCCTCTCCCAATATTCTGAACCAGAACCTCTCCGACCCCTTCTCCAAATCCTTCAATAAGACCGCCAATAAATTCAATAACCACCTGAGATGCTAGACGAGCAGCAGTCCCAAGCATAGTGGGCTTTTCAGGAGGCTTGATCCCATATTCTTGAAGCCCATTGATCATGGACTTAGCACACAGTGCATGAAGATGGTAGTCACAGACTGTGCAGCTGTACACTCGACCTGATGACCTTTTCTTCTTGCACTCACTGCACACCATTCCTGGTTGATCATTACCACCACCAGCACCACCTGTTAAAGTGTTTCCTTGGGGTAAGACTTTTAGTAGGTGCGGATGATTGGGAAATTTAATCTCGGTGGAAAGCATGGCACAACAAGGATGCATCTGGAAATTACAGGATTTGACTCTGCATCTAAATGTGAATCCTTTGGTGGACTTGCAGCAGACATCACACCTTGGCCACGCTATTCCAGCTTTAACTGATTTGTTTAAGAAAAGAACATGTGAAAATTCTGGAGATGGGAAATACATATCACAGAACTTATGCCAGACAACATATGTATGCATTTAAGCTTATAGAAGCATATATCTTGCCAAAAAAAGTACCACTTTGTGTAGGAATCATGTGTACCTTGTTTAGGTTTAGCATGGAAGACGAGTTGGTGCTGTCCATGGAAAGGATGAGCCTTAAGAGAGGGCGGAGATAAGGCACAGAAGTGATGAAGCTGAAAATCACAATCTTGGCATGCATACCTACGGCCAGTGCCAAACTCCTTGCAACCTGAGCAGGTAAATAGTTCTGAGAGAGTGATCTCTGCAAGCGGGTGCTTTGAGTGAGTATGATGAACAATGGTTCCATTGTGATTAGCATGATACCCGGTGTGATCATCAGGTGGCTGGGGCGATGTTGGGAACTCTATGTAGGTTGGAGTAGGAGATGGCTGGTTGCCGCCCTTGGTCTTTGCGGCTGAGGAATGAGCAGAGACAGCTGAGAGTGGAGCGTGTGCCAACGGGAACGATGAGGTATTGTTCAATCTATTCATTGTTACTATAGATGTCCCTGATCTCCTGAGGGGTTTTATACTGGTGCTGTTCATCATGTTCTAATTTGGTTTCAAAAGAGAGAGTCTGAAGAACCTTATTGAGTAGAATGTGAGCTAGCTCATATATTTATGCTTGCTTTGGATGCCTGGCTACAGAGAATTTAATCTAAATTATCAAGTTAAAGTAATCACGATAACAGTAGGTTGATTGATAACGTAAAAGTAATCTAATTACAGGGAATCTTTTGAATGAATAGATATATAGATGAATCATAAAGTTGTTGATACAGCTAATCTGGAATTGAGGCATAACAAATTTGATTTATTAATGAAACCTACACGAAGCAATTTTATTTGCTCGATAAAGTCAGATTAGCTTTTCTTTGCTAGTGGACAAGTTTGATTTTTGAGGGAGAATGAGGCCCCTCTCTTTGGTACCTTTTATTCTCTGCAATAACAAGGAGCAGTATTTTCCAACCAAGTATGTCTTCTTTTTTCCCTTTTCTCTCTTTTTTACTACACCCTAGTAGACAATAAAAGCCATGGCACGAATCAAAATCACTTTCTTGGAAGATACTTATTCCGGTATAAAGTAGAGGCGTAGAAAATGTTAACATCTTATTTTTCTTTTTGGAATTGCTTATAAGAGTTTGCCACATTCAACCCTCAATGGTTTGGTTAATGAAGTGGCCTGAGGTCTCAAATTTGAACTCCAGAGACAAAACACTAGGTAATTACTTTCCATTTGTTCTAGCCTTGATGGACAAAGTTATTTGATATCTATTGCTAATAGCAAGTGACAAAATATGTTGTCCGAGTATGCACCAACAGGTTTGGACACCACAATTATTAAAATAAATAAGAAAGAGTTTACCACATTCAATAAGTGGTTTCGTGTAGTCTGTAAAATAAAGTTGAAAATCTTTATCCTATTCCAATTTGCAGAAAAGCTACTAAATACTACTACTGTAGATGATGGTAGATATTGAGCATTCTCCTTCTCTGCTGTCGAATCTATATGATTAATGATTTACTGTAGTTGGTTGGACTTTGTGTTTCTTATGATACCCAATTATTGCTTGTGGATATTTAACTACTACCGCATATATTCGTAGCTATTTTTTCTTCATTTTCCCTTTTAGTTATGGTTTATTTGATTTAAGTAACCAAGACATTTAACACTGTCTTGTACTATGAATACAGATGCACAACGTTACTGTAAGGATCAGGGACTTGAATATTGATCTTTTGCTTCTTCATTTTTCCGTTGTTAAATGTTGAATGTCGTATTTCTTCCTTCTTTGATTACGTAATTAATAGTAGACATAAGGCTAAAGAGAGAGCCAAAAAAAAAGGAGAAAAAATATGACATTTGTTCTTAAAAACCTAGTTTGACAAGGAAAACACCCCTCCTATTAAATTAAATGTTTTAAACGGAAAATCCATAATTTCCTTCTTTTCCCCTGGATTAGGCAAACAGAAAATTTGTCTCCGTAATAAGTAATTGCGATGTATTTTTTTTTTATTGTTGGTAAAAGATGATGATGGCAATATTGGTAATAAAGAAAAGATCCAAGTGCGTTATTGTAGGAGAAATTTGATAAGTGTCTGTCCATAGAGTCTTTGTCTTTGTCTTGTCAGCCAATGGCTAAAACTCCAAGTAATTTGGTAGTGACATTGCTCGCCTTCACTCTTGTGATGCTCATTTGGAATCTCCAACCTTACTACGATACCATCCTTAATCCCCCTGCATCCTCCAACATTACCGACCCTAACAAACGAACCTTCATTACCTACGGCAATGCCGCCTCTCTCTTCGTCCAGATGGGAGCCTATCGCGGCGGTCCCACTACTTTCGCCGTCGTCGGTCTCGCTTCCAAGCCGCTTCACGTCTTTGGCCGCCCATGGTATAAATGCGAGTGGATCCCCAATACTAATACAAACTCATCTAAGGCCAAAGCCTATAAGATCCTCCCTGACTGGGGTTACGGCCGTGTCTACACTGTGGTGGTTGTGAACTGCACATTTACTGTGAATCCTAACCTTGATAATAACGGAGGGAAGCTCATTCTCTACGCTTACTATAGTGAGTCACCCAAGAGATACGAGAAAATCACAGCATTGGAGGAAGCACCAGGGTCTTACAACCAATCCAAGTTCAGCCCGCCATATACCTACGAGTATCTGTATTGCGGTTCCTCCTTGTATGGAAATTTGAGTGCATCTAGGATGAGGGAGTGGATGGCCTATCACGCCTGGTTTTTCGGGCCCAGCTCCCATTTCGTGTTTCACGACGCCGGCGGGGTGTCATCCGAGGTAAGGGCCGTGCTGGAGCCGTGGGTACAGGCTGGTAGGGTCACGCTTCAGGATATAAGGGACCAATCCGAGTTCGATGGCTACTATTACAACCAGTTTTTGGTGGTGAATGATTGCCTCCATCGCTACAGACACTCTGCCTATTGGACCTTCTACTTTGATGTTGACGAGTACATATATCTTCCTGATGCCAACACTACTCTCGAATCTGTGTTAAGAGACTTCTCCAACAATACTCAGTTCACCATTGAGCAAAATGCCATGTCCAGCATCCTCTGTTTGAACAATTCCTCTCAAAACTATTCCAGGTTAATCTCCATAATTTCTCTACAATTGTTTTCACTTAATTATATCATTGCTCTTCTTGTTTCTTTGTCATTGATTTTCTCTCTTATACAAAGGCATTCGTTTATCTCTTAACTAAAACTTGATTGATTGATCCATCTTTTAATGCCTATTGGCTTATTAGTAGTCGATACTTTAGGGGTTGCTGATCTAAGTTCCTTACCATCAATGCCTATTCTGTTAAATTTGAGATTCTCTTTAAGAGTTTCTGAAGCTTTCCTTCAATTGTAAGTGCATGTTCATGTGTTTGTATTTACAAAGAATGCAGTCACATTAATATATGGTAGAACCAAGTTTTGCACTCTACTATTACAATTTGTCAAAGGTATTTGCGTTCCCATCAAATCAAATCAACAATGAAATGAAAATCTTTTAACATCTTGCTGTCATACTCTCCGTTTGTTATTAATTACAGGCTGTGGGGCTTTGAGAAGTTGTTGTTCAGAGACTCGAGAAGTAACATTAGGAGAGATCGCAAGTATGCCATACAGGCAAAAAATGCGTATGCAACAGGTGTGCACATGTCGGAAAATGTAGTAGGAGGGACTTTGCACCAGACAGAAACTAAGATCCGCTACTATCATTATCACAACTCCATCACGGTACATGAGGAGCTGTGTCGTGAGTTTTTACCCATGTCTGCTAAGCATAACATAACCTGGTTCGATAAGGTACCCTATGAATATGATGACAGCATGAAGAAACTCACCCAAACCATCAAGGATTTTGAGCGAAATACTATCAATATTAATGCAGCTCCCGACCATACCAATAACTCATAGGACCAGTTATTTCACCCTTACATAGTACAGCAGTATTGTACCATAATTTTAGTTACCACAGTGAAGAGAAAGGAACTGGTGAACAAGTGTTTCAGTAGTAGTGTTCATCCCTACTCCTAATTCTTGCAACTCCTGTAGGGTCACCACACTTTATTTCTGCTGGCTGGATTTGGTTATTAATATCAAATCATTCATTTGTATCCACATATTGCAAAGTTAGGTTGATTTGGGAAAAGAGAGAGATGAGGATTTGTCTGTAAATGGTAATCGTTAACATTTTCTTTTGCGACTACAATTCACTTCTTTCCTTTTCATATTCATTACAATCCCTTCTTTTCATTTGTTACTCTAGAGTCTGGTGGTTGTCTTTCACTCATTTAAGAAGCAGTTTGTGACTAGACATTTTTTAAAATATAAATAAAAAATAAAATGTCACTGCTATACAATTTACAGAAACCTCCCGGTTAGAGCCTGCTTGGCTCAGCTTAAAAGCCGGTCAAACCGACTTAAAAGTTGGTTTTTGGTTTATTTATCTGTTTGGCAATACTCAAAATAACTTATTTTAAGTTTAAAAAAAACTTATTTTAAGCCAAAAGTTAAAAGCTGGGGTAGGGATGTTTTTTTTTCTCCAGCTTTTTTAAGTTGACCACATTTTTACCTTTTTACCCTTAATATTTTTATACAATCTCCAAATTACTCACATAACCCTAACATCTCTTTCTTCTATTTTTCCCTTTTCACGTGTGGATGATAGACAATTACTATTACTAATGAATGAAAATAAAATAAATCTTAAATCTTTCAAGTGATCTATTCAAATTATATATTATTAAAATGTAAAATAAGTTGCACATATAACTTGAATAAAAATTTATATTCCTCTTATAAATAATTTGTGATAATAAAGAAATATGTGAATGATAGACAATTATTATTACCTATGGATGAAACTAAAATAAAATCTTAAATCGTTCTTTAATCTATTCAAATTATATATCTTTAAAATCTATAATAAGTTTATATTCCTCTTATAAATAATTTGTGATGAGAAAGAAATATGTGAATGATAGCAAAATATAATTATTTATGACTGTAAAATATAAATTAATTAACTTTTATCATGTTAACAGCTTTTAAGGGTATTTCAGACATTTTGATTTAAAAAACTGTTTATCAGCACTTATTTGCCAAACACATCAACAATTTTTTTTTAACTTCAGCACTTTTATCCAAACGCATAACTGCTTATTTAAAAATAAGTTTCAGCACTTTCGAAAGTACTTTTTTAAAGCTGCTTTTATTAAGCCCATCCAAACGGGCTCTTAGTCTTTTGTCTGTTAACAATAAAGGGTGTATTATTTCTATTGACGTGGATATAAATATATAGCCAACAGTGCAATATAGGTACTATCAAATATACATAGTGAAATTAGGTTTTAAGTTTAACTCACGCCCCCAAAGCTAACTCGAGGAGAATTATCTAAGTTTTATAAGGAGTCCACTCATCTCATTAATCATTGATATGAGACTTTTTCATTCTTTAACACATACCATGATAAAGTATGAACATTTCGTTTTAAAAAAATTTAGTTCTTTTGAGTGAACATATTTTAATTGTATTCTGGACATTATTATTACTATGAAATGTGGTTAGATTCACAAAAGCTAGAAAGAAAACATATGCAGAGTCTAAATTAGGGGTGTATATGATCGGGTCAATTTGGATTTTTTAAGTATCAAAGCAAATTATTTATGTTAGATTTTTAAATCTATAAACTAAATCAAACCAATAAAATTTGGATTTTTCAACCTCGGTTTTTTTTTAACTTTTCGACTTTTTGGATTTTTTCGTAAAATTATTCATACAAACGTATAATTTACTTGTAATTCAATTATTTCTTCAGTCCTATTAAAATACAACATTGCAATGTGTTTCTTAAGCATATAATACAAACAATGATATGATTAATGACACTAAAATATTCAATAATGAAATTGTGTAAAAACAAATAGTGCAAATTAACAAGTCATAATGAAAATTATCATAATTTAGAAGTACTAAATCATGCTAAAATAAGTTTAATAAGTATTAGTTACATGACTAAATATTAAAGGAAATTAAAATTAGATTATGTATTTTAATTGTCTAAACCAATGTAAAATCAGAACAAATATTCAATATTATTGTCATTCTTAGTGTTAAATTGATTTCCTTTTTGCATTAGTATTAATTTGATTTTGATTTAAGTTTTATTATAATTACCAACACCTGTGGACTATCATCTTTATGGAACCATCCAAAATTCTAAGTTTCAAACTTGAAATAATATATTAAAAGATAAAACTATGAAAAATTATAAGATATATTTAAAAGTTATATCAAAGTAAATATTTCTCTGTATAAAATAAAAATTTAAAATTATATATATAATGTCGGGTTGATTTGGTCTCGAGTTGATTCTTTTAGTTAAAACAAAACCAATCCAAATATAGCCGAGTTTTCTTTTTCAACACCAAACCAAGTCAAATCAATCACTAATCAAATTTTATTTTTTTCGAATTAACTCAATTTGCGGTTCGAATCCGTACACCCTAGTCTAAACCATCAAAGATGAATGGGGGGTAATATAAGAAGAGAATAAAGCCCATTCCATTTAGTCAAAGCCCAAAAGGGGTTTGGATTGGAGCCGCTGTTGTGTTGGAGGTCTTCTGCTGACCAACTATTCAAACACATACGCTAAAATGGTTCAAATGATTTATCCATTTTTTGTGGTTGGAAGAAAAAACAAATCCTTAATTATTCAATCTGGAGTATGAATCAATTTTTTTAAAAAAAGATATATTAATATTTGTTGACACATAAATTGTATGGTGGGAGAATTAAAGTACCTGTTAATTGATGTTGGATTGGAAATATTATTCTTAGAATATATGAAAGCAGCTGGGATGGGGTATCTATCTATCTGCAGAAAAGTTAAGAGATAAAAACTGGAGTTTGTTGAGTCAACAGAAAACTCTCGTCTTACTTATTTGATGATAGATATAAACCCCTGTTAGGAATAAGGATTTTAAATTAATTTTTGTCCTCTTCATTAATATTCTCTCAACATATTACCATTGTTTATCATATTTATCTCTCCATGAAACCACCAAATTAAGTGGGTACCAATAAAATACGGAATTCCAATAAATAAATAAAATATACATATTGGACCACGCCATCGTGCGGCTTTCATAAAATTAAAAGATCAGTACGGTCAATTAATGCAATTTAGTAGAAGAGAGCCATAGTATATAATTATATTATTATTAATTTGAAGAAGATATATACGTTACCATAAAAATAAATTTAATTTTTAGCGGAAATGGAATAACAAAAAGGGTTAAAATTTTATTGACATTAATTATTATTGTCTTTCTCGCTATCATATTCGGTGGATGAGCCCTTTCACTTTGAATCTGATATTTATAAAAACGCTAATTATTTCTAGAAAAATGTGCCAATTAAACTGTTGTTGTTGATTATTTTTTATGTAGTGCTACATTAATTATTTGGTACTCGAAATACAAAATAATATAATAATATAGTGAAATAAAACAATTAAGACAATCTATAACAATTCGTTTCTAGTAGTGTTAGTACGATATATTGTAGGATTGGGATTTATTATTTTTACTAGTGAACGTATACGCGCTTCGCGCGATTATAAAAAATGATAAGTTATGAGTAATTTTATTAAGTATCATATAAATAAAGATGTGTTTGTAATATAATTGTTAGACCTTGATTTTTTATAGCAAAGAATAATATATAAATTTAATGCATAATTAATCTTTCGAGTTTTTGCGGACATCCACTCCATAGGTTGATCATAATTTAATAATTTGCATCTTATTTTTTGAGTCAAACTAAAATATGCAAATAATAAACATAAAGAAAATAAAAAACAACAAAAAAATAAATAAATCAATGTGATGATTTCTACATAATCTAACAATATCTCTCAAAAACATAACAACAAAAAAATTAAAGTGATTATTTCTATAAAATTTTAACTATCTTTATTTATACGGCTATAATATCTAATATCAATATGATTATTAATTACTTTAGAAATTAGAAAAATAAAAAGTTGTTAATGTAATGAAAATAAATATCATTAAAACTTATATCAAACAAAATAACTTTTTAGTTTCTTAACATTTTATTTAATACTCCTTTACAAAGGTAAATTAGATCACATTAATTCGATATTTTAAACAGAAAAATCAGATATTCTAAAACTATATGAAAAGTACTATAAATTACATTTTTTTGCATATTAATATGATAAAATAAAAATCATGACAAACAATTACAGACAGAGGAAGTATAATAATTAAAGAATTGAGTTGTAAATGAAGGGGAAAAAAAGAAAATCAAAAAAATAAAAAATCAATTATTAATTAATAATCAGTTATACTTTTCCAAAAATAAGAAATTCAAAAGCTACCGTTTTGCTTACATATAAAAATATATTTCTTAAATATTTCTCTTCCTTATATTTCGCTTATTACCTTTTATTTTTGTAGTTTATATATATATATATATAAACTAAACTCCTGCTACTCAAAAAAAGATGAAGTTTAAAAATTAAAAAGAATAAGTTATAAATAAATTTTTGATAAATTACAAAAAAAATAAAAGTCTTTAAAAATGAGCGTGATAGAAATTTATCAGAATTTAAGAAGTGTTTTATTTTTTAATAAATGAAAGAAATTTAGGAGAATGAAAGAAAAAATTTAGAAAAATTAACTAATAGTATTTTAATTTTAACTAATAGTATTTTATTAATGATAAAAAAGAAGATATTTTAATTTTTTTCAACATTTTACCACAAATTAAATGAAATTAATTGAGAGAAAATGGGCAGAACATATTCATGGTAATAAAAGGATACATAAATAAAACATACATATTTATAAAAAATAATAGGAATAGAAGGTACAATGTTAAATTATGGAAATAAGGATCAGAGTTAAATACATTTCTTTTAAGAAAATTATAAAAATAGAAGGTACAAAAAAGAATTTCAATAAAAATAATAAATTGTAGTAATGATAAAGAAAAATAAAAATTAATAAATTGTAATAATGATGAGAAATTTGATTTTTTTTCAGATGTCATAGATTAGAGAAAATAAAAAATTAAAATATATAACAAAATAAATGACTGGAAATTAAACTTAAATTTTAATTATATTACATAAAATATTTTCTTTTATAAAGAAAAAACACAAATGTTCTATCAATGTTTATTAGTCAATAAAAATTAAAAAAT